GTCCCCTCATGACTCAGGACATGTGTGGCCCCGGCCCCTCCCTTCCCCTCACCCGAGCTGCCCACAGTCAGTGGGGAGACGTCTGAGCAGGAACTCGGAAGGTGTCTGTTCCCAGCTGTGCCCTAAAGTGCTCCTGTGACTTGGGGCAAATGATTTGGCCTTTCCAGAGTCTCAGTTTTTTCATCTACAAAATGGGGGTACAGACACCTGCTGCGGTTCTTTTGAGGATCAAATGAAGCACAGGTGCGAGCCACTTTGAAGTGCATGAAAGAGGGCAGAGGCTGCCTTTCATTGCCGGTGCACACCTCAGGAACCCACCTTCCTTCCCCCAGGACTCAGTTCAGAACATCTTCGGTCGTTGGAAAGGAGAAGGAGGATTTGGGAGGTTTCATATAATTCCTTTACACGCCCCCCCCCCAAAGGCAGCCTCTGCCCTCCCCCACCCCCGCGCGCATGCGCTCACCCACCCTCTCATCTCCAGGACTGGAGATCCTGGAGGTGTCTGCCGCTTGTCATTCTCTTATCCCCTGGTATCTGTGCTGTCAGCATGGCTTGTTTCTTCCTTTGAAGTCTAGCCCGGACTCACCTTCGCTTCCTGGTCTCACCGTCACCACCACCACCTCCATCTAAACCATCATTATCCGGGCTTCTGTATGAGCACCCCAGCGTTTCTCTCTGGTTTCACCCTTCCCTCCCTCTGTGCTCTCCTGCACTGGGCTGCTAGCTCCCGGGGTGGGGGTAGGGGTAGAACTGACACTTCCTAAACTGCTCTCCCCTTACGGGTTTCATCAGGGCCACATTCTCTGCATGCTGGAAGCGTCCCAGAGCCTCTCTGGTCCTCCGTTCTTTCCTTCTGCCTTTCTTACAGGTCCGCTGCCTAGGTTTCCCCTCTACAGCCGGACTTGGGTCCTAAGTGTGCTCAGGAAAGCTCGGCCCATTCTGACATCTGCGTGGGTCACTTACCCCCAGGGCCTGGGAGCACCTTCTTGTGTGTGTCTGCCAACTCTCCAGACTGTACGACCCAGCTCGTCCCCGGTTCCCACCCTCGGACCTGTCTTAGGACTTTGTCTCATGGGATGATCTGTTCATATTCTTATTGCTTGTGTCAACAGGACTGATTTAGTATCAGCTCTCACCTCCCGCTTCCCTGTCAATGCCTCATCAGAGGCCCGAGGGCCAGCAGAATCATCGAGAAGGAGCATCAGGAGTTCTGGCTTGGGAACGTGGAACCGGCCTAGGAAGAGTCTGTATTCAAGATTTCTTGGTCCCTCTCTACCCTCCCCCTACCAAATTGTGCTCTTGAGAATCTCCCCCCTGCTACGTCCCCATCCATCAGTAATAAAGTAGGAACAATAGGGGGTTTCTTTCTAATTAAAGGGAGCAGTTAGTGTTTCCACTTCAAAGCCCTGGGAGAGAAGATTTTTGTTCCTCCGGCCCGGAGTCTGGGAACCCAGTTGGGTTGAGAAGCAGGAGCTCCAGGCCCAGCCAAGCATTAAACTCGTGAACCTGAGATCCCCCATCTGCAGGCAGAGGAGCTCAAATTTAAAACAACAACGTAATTTGGTAACTCGGGCTCTGATAAAAACAGTTGGGGGATTTCTTCTCTCTGAGCGTCTGGGGCCAATGTTATTACAGGTGTGTGCTTGTCCCTCCCACACCCTCCCCTGCCCCTGCTGCCCCAGCACACACATGTGCCGTATCCTGCTCTCCCGTGGATGTGGGGGTCACAAAGCACACGCGGGACATACACACTTAGTGTGTTCCAAGCCTCGCTCCCACCCCCAGGCACTCCGGCCCCAACTCTCCCAGTTGCTGTTACCCACCACCCCTCACCCCCTAAAGGCCTAGGACTGAAGGACTGTAGTTGGGAAACCGGAAGTCAGCTTGCCAGGCATGTGTTCTCTTCCTCCTGGCTGCAGGCTGATCACACCAACGCAGGCCACACCGCTGACCAACTGGCTCACGCTTCTGGCCGCAAACTGCAGTCTCCAAGCGGGGTGTGCTAATCACCACCGTCTGTTGGGACGGAACACCTGAACAAAGCGACTTACAGCCAGAAAGGCCCGTTTCTGCTCATCATTGTGTGAGCTTTCAGGCCATGGTCAGGTGACTCCATGGCTTTGGACCTGAGGCACGGACGGCACCCTGAGCTGTCATGGTGACAGAAATGCGCCCTAGGGGAGGCTGCTCACCTCAGAGTGGCTAGGAACAGAGAGAAGAGGGGAGGGAGGCAGAAAAGGAAGAGGAAGACAGAGAGAGAGAGAGAGAGAGAGAGAGAGAGAGAGAGAGAGAGAGAGAGAGAGAGAATTTATAGGACATATCCCCAGTAACGCTACTTCCTCTAACTAGGCTCCACTTCCCAATAGTTTGCCATCAAATTATGACTGAAATGAATGGTAAGTGGCCGCGATAGTTACCGCGTGGAAAGGTCACGGTCACGGCAGAACCCAGTATTAGTTTTAGAGCTTTATTAGGAGGAAGAGGGGCGGGGGAGAAGAACCAGGCCTGGGGAAGGAGCATGTGAGGTGAGAGGGAAAGATGGTGGGAGACAGAGAAGAACAGAGAGAGAGAGGGCGGGGTCTGCGTCACGGCTCTTTAAGGCGCAGATGGGCTTACGGAGCCACGCCACGCATACGCAGATTGTGTGACCACACTGCGAGTATGTGATCGCCAGCGCACACTGATGGCATAAGATGCAAGACCCTTTGCTTAACTCCTGAACCGCGCGTGTGCGGTCACACAGCTAGAGTGAGGGCAGAGTTCTAACAACGACTCCATCAATGGCTTAGTCCATTCATGAGATTCGAGCCTTCATGACCCAACCTCCTAAAAGCCTATATCACCTGGCAACCAGCCCTTAGTGCAGGAACCTTTGTGCCTGTGTGTGAGGGGTGGCATTGCATACCCAAACCACAACAGTGGCCCCAAGCCGAAGCCCTCATATGAACACAGCTTGAAGCTCCAAAAGCCACACACTATCCTAAGTATAGTCATGATCTGAGACCCAGCAAAGTCATAGAATTGGGTCCTTGGGCTAACAAATCATCTTACAAGTTTAACCTATTGATTACCATGGAGATGGGAAAACAGGTTTGTTTTTTTCTCACTTCTGTGATTGAATCTATGAAGCCTAGATCAAACTTCCATTTGTCCATCTGTCTGTCTATCTGTCCATCTATCTACCCATCTTACACTGAGCACCTTTTTTTTAATTTATTTATTTATTTATTTATTTATTTATTTATTTATTTATTTGTCAAGTAGTGGGAAGCACAGTTAAATATAGGTAAACTCCATCGTTAAGCATCTTAGTGTCAGGTTAACAGCACAACTTTTGATAGCTGAACATCGTGTGTTAAGACTCCACTTCAAGCCAGGCGGTGGTGGTACACACCTTTAATCCCAGCACTTGGGAGGCAGAGCCAGGTGGATCTCTGTGAGTTTGAGACTAGCCTGGTCTACAGATTGAATTTCAGGACAGGCTCCAAAGCTACACAGGGAAACCCTGTCTCAAAAAACCAACTCCCCCTGAAAAAAAAAAAAAAAAAAAAAAAAGACACTTCATTGATTTATTAGCAGGGTCATTGTGGACCCAGTTGCTTAATCTTTCCGAGTCTCAACTTGCTCATAGGTAAACTGGGGATAAGAATTCCAGTGGTCTCTGGATTAAAAGGAGTTCTTGTTATGATGCTAGCAAGGTGCCCGGAACATAGAAGAGTCTCAATGAGTAAGAACGATCATTTAGTTCCCATTCATTCTGAAGAGTTGCAGAAGAACAAAATTGCATGCTAAGAACTGTAATAATTTTATGTGGCAGATGAAGGAGATCAGAGAAAGAGACCCCTAGGCCCGTGGGCTGTCAGGGAAGGCTTCTGGAAGGGGAAGGCCATCTTGGACTTCAGAGGCATTTGCTTGGCAGACCAGGCCAAGGAAGAAGAAAGAACATACATGTTCTCCTCAAGCCACAAAGAGCATCCCTTTGCAGACTCCAGTCTGGCAGTATGATTTGGAGACCATAGACATCATTCCGTGTCCCTTGGTGAGTAACACTGTCAGCATGTTAGGAGGTCTCGGGGGACGTGTGATGGTGGGCAGTGACTGTAGCGAAGCGATGATGTCATGGTTAGAAGTCTTCCGACCTCCCTTAGTTCTGACCTTGTCTCTTCAGATCCCATTCTCTCCCTCACCCTCTTCTTCTTTTCTGCCCTTTGTCTTGTGGAGGGCAGAGAGACACTCTGCCCTCGTTGTTTGCTTTTCTTCTCCCCACTGAACCTTCCGGTCTAAGGTCTTGCCTGGTTCTACTGAGGGAGGGCTGTTTCTCCACGTGATCCTGGCGGTGTGGGGCATGGCTGTGCTGAGGTGGCCTTGCTCGCTCCGGTGATAATTTCTCCTTAATTGAGCGTAAAGAATGTGAGGAATGTGGAGCAGACCGCAGGAAGAGGGCTGTGCAGGCCCCTCAGGGATCCAGATTCTGGACTCTGAGATGGGAGAGCTGCAGCCAGCCAGCTGAACCCCACATAGTGTGTGTGTCCATTCTGGGTTCCCCATCTCCTCTGCATGACGTGGTGGTCAGCCCACTTCTCCAAGCCTTGGTTCTGTTCTTCTCTCTCCTGTTGCCAGAGTTCCACATTCATGTCAAACTGGCCATGGTCACCTCTCTTCCTGAGCATCTGGCTTGATTTTTTTTTTTTTTTTCGAGACAGGGTTTCTCTGTGTAACATCCTAGCTGTCCTGGAACTTGCTCTGTAGACCAGGCTGGCCTCAAACTCAGACAGAGATCAGCCTGCCTCTGCCTCCCGAGTGCTGGGATTAAAGACCTGCACCACCACCGCCGTCAGGCTTAGTCTTTCTTGATTTCCCAGCCCAGCTGATATGAAGAATCCGTATAAATCTGTAATTCCAGATGGGACTCTAAAAGCTATCCCTCTGGAGGAGGAGAATGTTCTTGGCTGCTGAGATCTCTGGGCCTGGGCTGTGCAAAGCTGTGAGTGCAGGCTTGAACCCGCTACCTGTTTGTTGGCCGGGAAGTCACCTCAGAGAGGATCAGAGAGGAGTGCTGTGTGTGCTCCTCTGTCACCCAGGGGACGTTAGGTTGAGCTGTCCTGCCTCCTCATCGTCACGTGAGCAGAAAGCACAGGTGGAGGACTTAGGCTTCTGCTCGGCCCCGACACAGCGTTAGCCATGGAGCCCGTTAGCTATGGAGCCCGTTAGCCATGCAGCCCAAGGCGAGGTTTGAATCCTCTCAGAGGTTGTTTCCTCTTGCTGAATACTCTGGTGGCATCTTTGTATGTGTCAAGGTGGAATTAGATTTGCTGAAGCCGTGTGGCACACCCAGCAGGTGCTGTTGTGAATGTTTATATGTGGCTCTTTGTAGGGGACTGGAGGTAGAGGGTCAACTCTGTCAGGATCCCTAGAGACCCTGTGGAAGGGACAGGATGACACTGAAAACTACTTCTGAGGACTCGCAACCCAGAGCTGGGTGGGTCACAGAACAGAGGTATGCAGGAGGCAGGCAAGAGACAAGTACAGGTTGAGGCCGGATAGCTCCAGAACTGCCTCTCCGGCTCTCAGTAAAAGTGACAGCTGTCTTTCTCTGTACCCCCTTCCTACGGCCTGACCAGAGGAAATGGCCGATTTGGTGATGGGAGGGCCTCAGGCTATATTTAAAGAACTTCCTGCCCAGGAGAGACATTCTGTGGAGGTAGCCAGTCCTCCTGGGACATTAGAGTGTGGGCCGAGGTCTATATTTTCACAGACAGGATGGGGACAGGGGTGGGGGGTGGGGGGTAGGGGTAGGGGGAGCTGGGCAGACAGCCCTAGGTGACTTCTTCCACCCTAGATAGTGCCAGCCACCTTTACACTCCTGTTTCCTCTGCCTCTTTAGATGACACTCTCTGGGAAGGAGATGTCTAAAAGTTGCAAGGCTGAGAATACGCTGAACACATTCCGCCGCTTCTGGAAAGTTTCTGCTGTTACAGCGATTTGCAAATTTCTCCCAAGATGAAAATTCAAAACAAAGTGGGAAGTAAATGGACCTTGTGAGCGATGGCGCAGGAAGCTTTGTCATTGGGGTGTTTATGTGCACTGGGGCGGGGGGCGGGTGGAGGGTGGACTGAACAGGGCCGTGGGCCCCTTCTTCATCTTGACGGTGCCTGGAATGCTGGGTAGCGGTGAAGGAAAGATGCTGACCCTCTAGGTTAAAAGTGACATCTCTCTCCCTGTTCCAGAGACAGAGGCAGCTGCCACTGCCCCCTCCCCTGAGTGGCAGGAGGTACCCAAGAACAAGAGGACCGATGAACAGAGGTCAGACCGAGCATCAGGATTTGCAGAAGTGTTGGGGTGGAGTGATGAGGCTTGAGATGCAGGAGGGTGGCGTGTTTATTTATACAAACCTTTCCCCCCACCCCCAAGGAACAGGCTGAACGCTTTTTGAGTCGCCAAACACTAAACCCCTTTCTTCCTCAGAGCTGTGCCCCTTCTGGAGCCCAGAAGCAGTTCTGTCCCCTCTTCCGGCCCCCATCTCCATCCCTGTCCACATCTGGGTCTACATTCCTGTCTAGAGCCACAGCATCCCCGGCAGCAGCCGTGGCTGAGCCACATCTGGGGCTCTGATGGCCACATCTGTTCTACCCCCTCTCAGGGCTGGTTATTCCGTTCTCACTTTTATCGTCATCTGTGGAGTCTAGAGGGGATCTGTAGATGGTGGGTCCCTAATCTCCAGAGCTGTCAGTTTCTAGGGGAGGGTTGGGGGCGGGGAAGCTCCATGTCACCAAGCTGTCACCTCTGCTCTCATGGGTTCTTGGCTCTAAAGTTTCATGTCAGAGATAGCTAAGGACTGGTTGTGCCGGGTCTCACACCTCCCTGGTGCTACTCTGTCTGTGACACTCAAGCCTTTCTGTCCCAGGAGCTGGGTACACGGCTTGTTGTCCCTGACGTGGAGCGTAGGGCTCCATAAGACATGTGCAGACAGCGGTGGAAGAATACTCAAGATAGGGGAGGGGGATGGATATGGGAGGTGGAAAGAGGGACAATATGGGATTGGATACAAGCAGTTAAGGGTGGTCTCTCCAGGCTGTTTTAGGAGTGAATTCCTAGGCTGGTTTAAGAAAGAAAGGCTAGCCAGGCAGTGGTGGCGCACGCCTTTAATCCCAGCACCCGGGAGGCAGGGCCAGGTGGATTATTGTGAGTTCGAGGCCAGCCTGGACTACCGAGTGAGTTCCAGGAAAGGCGCAAAGCTACACAGAGAAACCCTGACTCGAAAAAAAAATAAAAAATAAAAAATAAAAAAATAAAAATAAAAAAAAAAGAAAGACAATAGGTAATGTCAACGTGTAACTGGAGGACCAAGGGTTGTATGGTCAAGGTGTGGGATGTGCTGAGCATTTCTTGATGTGGTCTTTCATGGTTGGACAGACACTCTGGCTATAAAGTCCTTGACACAGAACCTGGCCCATGAGAAACAGAGGGCTCCAGGAAGGGAACACCTTTCTTCCGGTCTGTCCTAGACCTGTGGCTTCCTGTGGAACTTTACAAGCCAGGGTCCCTTTAATTGAGGCCTTCTGGGATGGGGGATACAGACCTTCTGTTAGCTTTCCTCACCACACTAGGGAAATCATCAGGTCTGGAGCAGGAAGAAGAAACTGGCATGGTCCTGACTGGGATCTTGTGGTGGGTGAACAAGCCCTCTCTGTGATATGTATAATGAGAGAAACCACTGTTTAGGTTTTTGTTCCTGTTCTGGAAGGTTCTGGCACCTTGAGGGTTTAGAAGGCCTTTTTTCCTAGCTTGTTCCTTGCTATGGATCAGAATACCCGCTGCACCCAGTTAAGACTCAGTGATCAACATCCCGGAAGAGGCAGGGTCAGGGGCGCAGAGATGAGGTTTTTAGCGTTTTTTTTTTTGGAACTGGGGATTACCCAGGAGTGGGGGTAGTTTTCATAAACTGACCCTTCTTGCTAAAGCTCTGACTTCTGTCACTCTACAGAATTGCTATTGCTGATGCTCAGGGAGAGTCCACAGTCAGGTTTAGGATTTGAATGCCGAAGAAGGTGTGGGGTAGAATTCAATCAACTGTTGGAGGGTGTGAGTTGAGATCATTTTGGGGGTTTTGAGACTGTAAAGGGTGACATTTGGGATGGAAGGCAACAGGAGAGTTGGTTTTGAGGAAGAATAACCACATCCGACTATATCTCAGCACAGACTCAGGACATGTGGGCGGTCCAGCTTCCCAAAGGGATGCCCTTGTCTGCCTAAGCCTGGCACCTTTCCCAGGCTGACCCTCCTACCTATTTGGTGAGCAATATTAAGACCTCCCTTGCATTAGATCAAGATTCGAGGGACTATCAGGAACTCACCGCCCAGAGTGCTTGAATTTTCGGGTAATTCCAGTCCTCCCACACCTAGCCTGCCATGCCTCCCACCTCCAGATGATCCCATCTCTGTCACACTCTGTGCTCTCTCTGGTCTGGCCTCTGAGTTTAGGACTTTGTGTTCCCAGCTCCCGTCATGTCTCAAGGAGCAAGAGGGAGGAAATCCCCGCCTGGCCTGGGTGGCCCTCTCATCTCCCTGTCCCCCCTCCTCTCCAGTTTTCTCCTCCAGTCTTGTCTCCTGGGGGAGGGTAGGACACAAACGCCGCCTCCGGATCTCTCCTCTTTGCAGTCTCTCCCCTCTCTCCCAGTTCCCTCCAGGGCTGAAGGAGGCCAAAGAAAACAGAGCGCTTCTCTGGCTCCCTCTCTCTGGCTCTCCTTCACTTCCTGCTCCGGGAAGATGGTTTACTCACTCGCCCCCCCACCCCCGCCCTGGCAGAACCTAGCCTTGGTGTCAGGTTTCTGTAGAGCTCCCAGAGTCAAAAGATTGGGCTCTAACTGGACCCTTTATTTCTCTCCAGTCCACCCTTCTCATGTCTTCCCCACTCCCTACACAAGGCGATGTATAGAAATCGCCCCTCCCTGTGTTGAAATTTTGATCTTCAGGTGGTAGGGGAATCCAGAGGAAGGAATGTTCTCTTGGGGGTGAAGGACAGATGGGAAGAAGATGAGCTGGTGGGTTGGGAAGTAAGGAAGGGCTCCTTACAATGGGTGAGAACGAATTCTGTGCACACAGGGACCAAACCCGGTTCCTTTTGGTGCTTGAGACCCAATTCAACGAAGCTCCAGCTGGTAGCACAGGCGTGTGCCTGGAGCTAAGGGACACTGTGGCTGTCCAAGGGCAGACTTGAAAGACGGTGAGATCAGAGGACCAAATGGTCCCAAGTCCATTTGAGGCCAACCCAGGAGACATATCTCTCTTAGAAACCTCTTGGTTTTTGGATCCCTGTTCAGCTCAGTTCCGTGCTTAGCCACCTCCCCCCTCCAGATTCCCTGGGAGGATTCTAAGCTGGTTTCCTTTGCTCTGGAGACCTTTGTTGAGGAGCCTTTGGATTCCTGAGGAGATGTGAGATCTCTGAAGGCCTGGGCCTCACTATTCCCTTGTTGTGAAATGCAAGTAAAAACATAAAGAAATAAGGAGGAAGAGGAAGGAGAACCCAGAGGAGCCAGAAGAAAAGCCTGTTATAGAAATTATTATGAATACTACCATAGCTTAGAATCACTTACCTGGGCCTGCAGACCATCTCACAGGAGCTGCTAAAGAATTGTGGGATGCGGGTGTCACATCCCATAGAACTGGCCAGCAGAAGCTCTGGGGTTTCATATTTACTCTTGTAAAAAAAATCTACTCTGGCAGGGCTGGAGGGTTGGCTCAGTGGTTAAGAGCACTGGCTGTTCTTCCAAAGGACCCGGGTTCAATTCCCACATGGCAGCTCACAACTGTAACTCAAGTTCCAGTGGATCTGATTCCCTCACATCCCTCACACAGACATAAAATACAGGCCAAATACCAACACATTAAAAAATTAAATAAATAAATAAATAAAATTACTTAAAAGAAATAATCTGCTCTGGCCCAGCCATTGCTTTGCTGAGCACTGAGGTTAATATAGACATTTTGAAGCTTGGTCTTAGGGATGGGGACAAACAGTCACCAGGAAGCACAATGCCCCATCTCAGATGCCCTAGAGTGGATGTTCATTCAGTTATGGGGGCTAGAAACAGGGCTGAGTGAGTTAATGGTCGGAGGCTGAGGGGGTCACAGAGCAGGATCCTGGGCAGAAGGAAGGGTTTGAGCAAGGACAACATGGTGAAATGCCACCTTTTATTTGAGAGATCTTCTCTAGTGTTGAGCTGAGGACTAAGAGCATGAACATGGGATCGGTAGACTACGTATTTTTCTTTTGGAAAATTCTAGAAGAGCAGCTTGTTTGCTGCTGCTAGAACTCACCATGGAAAGCCCTCTGAGTCACTGTGAGGACTCAGTCTCCTCTTTCCTTTAGAGTCTTCAGTTAATTCCTACTTCCGGGTCTTCCTGCCTCTTCCTAGTCAAGCTGTTCCCATCCACGGCTCTGGCTTACAGTTTTCAACTGGCCTTTCTCCGTAGCACTTAACTGCTGCCCATCATCATTTCATCCTCATTTTTGTTTCCTTTGTCTCTTAGCATGAGACTGTCAGCGGCTCCATGAAGACCAGGACTTTTGTGTGCTTTATGCATGACGATAGCCCCTGTGTGCCTGAATGGCCTGGCGCGCAGCAGAGGTTCGGTCAGCGCTTTATTCATGTTGGAAACATGCCTGTAAATCTCTACAATGGGCCAAAGATGGTGCTTCTGAGAGACAACCAATGACTTTCAGATGCTAATTCCCGGACTAGCTGCACCAGGGTCATTTGGGGATACTTAATGAGTAGTCTCTGGGATGCCTCTTCAACCCAGGGAATTAAGACTTCTACACACGGATTCTGAATTCGATAAAGATGCCTGTTGGTTCAATGTGTGACAAGGTTAGAAGCCATAACTAGAAAATCTGGAAGACAGAACATGTGTCATTCCCCAATAAGTCAGTAAGAGACGGGAGAATTCTATGAAGGTGGCTGGGAGACCCATCCTGGAGGCCATTGTTCTGGTCTCGTCAGAAACCAAGGTAGCTTGGACTAAGATCACGACAGTAAAGATAGAAAGAAATGGATGGATTCGGGGGATGCTCAGGAGCTCGAATCTTAGAGATACAGGACATATGGCAGGCAAGGAGAGAAGGTATTGAGCATAACTCCTAGGTCCCAGACTTGTCCAGATGCATGGGTGATGGAGATGCCATCATTCAGACAAGGTTAGCATGGAGGAAGTTTGGGGGATAAGATTATGAGTTTGGTTTCAGACGTATTGAACACAGGGCACTTCTGGAAATTGAAAGGGAAAATGTGAAGCTATCAGTCACATGCCCAGGCCAGGAGATTTCCAAAGCTGGTCATCTAAATCAAGCGCGGTCAGAATGGAAACAGTTGGTTTTCAGCTAAGCAAGGAGACTAACATCAAAGTAGACAACAGAGGAAAAAAAAACCATATGCAGACATGTAGTTCCCCTTGTGAGACACAGAGTCATCGAAGTCAGAGTAAAATTACGTGTGCTCTGAAGAAGCACGAGACAGAAGAGCAGGATCTATGCGACCAGACTGCGTGTGGAGTTCTTCCGGAAGGAGCTTGCTGACCCAAATATGAAATGATAGGCTGTGACTCACAGGGAAGGTAATTCAATTTGTGCCCTTGCCTCTGACCTTGGGTGCCTTCGCTGAGCTTGGAGAGTGGTTCTAATTGAATCACCAGCAAA